CTTCAATGCTGGAGATGGGAGTTCTTTCTTTGCGAGATGTTATGTCGTTAAGAGTTTTCCATAACGCACTTGGATTACATTTGTTTCCGGTAATAAGCTTAGAATAGTATTCCGATTTACATCTCTTTATCTCCTTATTTACGTAATTCCTAAGTTCCTTATAGCGTGACCAGTGATTGCCAGACTTTGATTTCAGGGCTTTACGATTGTAATGATCTCGTTTGTACATAGCTTCAGATAGCCTTGCATTCATCTAAGGAGAGCGGACCCTTTTATTCTTGATTTTCTTATCGGTGCATGACTATCGGCAACGTGAGTGAAAAGTTTGTTCCAATCATCGACCGCGGAGTCAATGTCATCCTTGTTTAATGCCTGGTCCCAGTCAATATCTCTCAAGTCATTCAGAAATTCCTGCTTTGAATAATGCTTGTATAACCGATATTCAATGGTTCTCCCTGGAGCCTTGGGAACACCTGATTTGATAACGCAGAAGATCAAACAATGGTCACTTAGAGGTGATGGAGTAACGCCTCGGTCAATAACACGATGAGACGTATTAGTAAACAATAAGTCAATCAATGTTTATGATCTTTCCGTTATTCTTGTTGGTGCACTAATTAGTTGGTCTAGGTGATAAATATTTGTCACCTGGAGAAGTTTGCGCTTCTTGGCTTTATCATTATTTATCTCAGAGCATAAAAAATTTACGTTGTAATCTCCGAGTAAAACAAGCTCGGTCTTCTCAGGCACAGAAGACATGGATGTATTTAAATATTGAAAAAAAGTTTCCAGATTCAAATCAGGTGCTCTGTAGATTATCCAGATAATCAGTTTCTCGCATGTAGGTCGAGAGATTTCGACGGCACAAGATTCAGGTAAAGAAACGCCAAGATCGGGTCTAATTCGATAAGGATACCATCTCGAACATAGGCCATAGTACCACCTCCTGTTTTATGAAGTCGGTCAGATCTCACGCAAGAATAACCACAGATTTGAATTTCGTTATCCGTAATCGATGGTTTGAGCCATGTTTCCGACACTGTAAAAACATCGCAGGGCTAATTGAGTAACCAAAGTTTCAATGAGTCCAGTTTAGGATAAACACTTCTTATATTCAGATGGGCGACCTTGAGTCTTCTAAACCGCGTAAAATCTCTCACAAACAGACTTGGCGGTGCAACGGGACCAGGATTTATTGAGACGTCACCAGCAAGAGAGATAAATAGTAGTGCAAAGGACGCTGAACGCGCTAAGCGACAACCAGTAACAGCGAGTTCTCTGTTTGTCAGTGATGGTTTCGATGTCTTGCAGAAGCTCGACCTCTTTGAAAATTGCAAAGGCTGGCTTAAATCTCTAGCCACTTAAAGAACCCTGCTATCTATGTGTCGAGTTGGAAGTGGGCACTTTTGAGGCGAATATTTGAAGAGAAAACATATAAAAGAAGTAAAAAACAAACGTAGCGGGAGAGCGGTAAACTCGTGGCTCTCGCCGCCATTTGCGAGTTTTCGCGGTAATAGAATGGATGAAGTAAATTTCTAGTGAGTTCATCTTATTGCTTGGTCCTTTGACCACATTTTTAGAGCTATTCAAAATGACACTAAAATAGAAAGCCTTGATACGAAAACAAAACATAGCTATTTACCTTCCCACAGCAGCCGGTCCCGTCATTGCTTCTGGTTAATATTCTGCTAGGTTCCAGTCCCGCTTTCTCAGATTCTTTACAGTGAAAAAAGAGTGACAAATTACGTTAAAGTTTCGCACTAATGGAGATTTAATCGACCTTAAAATATTGGTACTAAAAATTAATACAATAGCTGTAATCAAACGGATTCATGGTAACCATGTTCATTGCTTTGCCAAATTTCCTGACTTTTTTCTGACAATTGTATTATTTCCCTGGCCAACTGTGGTAACAGTGTTATACATTAATCCTTATGAAACATGATTCGATAGCTACTTAACGTATCTTGGAAAGATTGAATATCTTAGAAACCCAACTTTAGCTTCAACCAATTAAACACGTCTCATGTTCGTGAAATGTACCAAAGAATTTAAATTTTAGAACATAATGAATAGAGTAGAAACGGAGAGTGTATGATTTCATTCAGAAACCAATTTCAACCCGTACTTCTATGGGAAATGACGTGTTTGATAGATATCTGTCGGTTGTAATTAACCATGAACTTGAGTTATATCAAATCACATAATGTTATGGGTCAGAATTTTCAATCACGAAGAGGGCCGATACAAGATGAACGAGTCCGTATTAACTTTTCCCTAAACTTTTTTAAAAATGAAGATTTTTCCTGATTTAAAGTGAAATTCTCGACTTTTCCTTGACCTTTTTAAGACCTGAGTATTTTATGACCTGTGGCAACTACGACAACTGCAAAAACCAATTAATTGAATAAAACAAGCGCAGCTGAGACACCCAAAATTTTAAGCAATTCACGCATTGTTTTGTTGCAATTGTAGGGCGCACTGAACTACATTAATAGTTTTCTTGCTTAACTACTTACTAACTTACTTACCTCTCTACTTACTCATCTACGTACTTACTCACTAACCAACTTACGCACAGTAGCGTGATATATTTATCACGTTGACCTAAATGGCAAATAGGTTATCATGAAATTTCCTCCGTAAAAACGACTTGTTTCACTTGAGGTTGTGGTTAGAATCTGTTCTTGCCTTAAAATATTTTAAACCAGGATGATTCGCAATTTTCTGGTCAGATTATGATGGTGAAAACAAGATGAAAAAAAAGGTTGCTGGTTTTTAAAAAAATTTAAAGCTAGAGAAATTACCATTTTAAATAAGCTATACCTGTTGGTAAAATTGGGAGTCTTTGCTTACCTGCGTTCCGCGACATTTCAGTGACCATAGACTGCATTGCTTCGCCAATCATACTTGCAGCGAGAAAAATATCATTGTGTATATCAACTGGCAAGTCTACAGGAGAACCATAAAATAAAAACAATTTTAGCATTCAAAGCATAGATATATCTCCAATTCATGTTTCTTGGCCGATTCTATCTTTTGCAAAAATACAGGTCACTTTACTTCCAATTAACCTTTGGCAGGTCCAGTTTTATCGTACCTCTGAGATTGTAATAGGTGCTCTTACAATCCCAGAAGTACTTAATACTGGACCTACTAAAGGTTTATACGACAATCTATGGACTTGAGTTTTTGAGGTTTTGCACAGTTAAACAATGGAACTCTACCGGTCGCGACGAGGAACATTAAAGCTTGTAACATTTTCAGAAAAAAATTAAAATTCATATACCTTTTAAATTTTAACTGTAAATAACTTTAATATTTTATGTTTCTATATATACTGTTTTTACTCTACTTTTTATTACACTTGAAAAGAATTTTACTTACCGTGGCGTACCTGAAAACTAGTTGTTAAACTAATTGCACTTACCACTTTAAAAAAACACAGTCTCCACTTCAGATATCTGTCCCTTCGTTCTAGGACAACTCGATCATTTTTTTCTGAGTTATTGGTAGATCCTGCGCTTTGCACCCACCACGCGTTGGCCATAAGGGCATAAAATCGCACTTCAATAATATAAACACGTGCGCAATTGCTAGACACTCTAACTGGAAGTTATCGACAAAGTTGTCCTTACAGTGGAACAAAAGTGTGAAAACATTACCTGAGTGAGCATCCAAAGGGAAAGTAGATGTTATTCTATCGACAATATCACTGAGCTCAATCCCTTCGTGAGAAGTGTCGAGTCGATCTACCACGCCCAACTCTGCAGCCGTTTTAAGAAGAAAAGAATTACGTGCCAAGCTGCTCTGGAAATCCCCGAACTGGGGTTTTTGATAAAAATGTCTAGGCGACAAGGAATAGCGAGGAGAATTTAGCTGCAGCGATGGACTTGGTGTAAGAAATGTTGCCTGAGGAACGACGGAATGTTGGTTTAGGGACTGAGCTGGTAACATGCCTGGCTCGGAAGGAGGTTGGTAAAAGCCACCAGAAAAATTAACTCGCGTTGACATCATGGTATTATTCGGTTCGGAAACTGTAGGGGGAGGAGCAACGATCGCCATTGAGGGTGACACGGTTGTGTGAGGCTTGGAAGAAGGCTGAGCTGCTGGCGTTATTGGCGAAGAGAGCTGCATAGCTTCATCCTGCAATGAAGAATAAATCGACAAATCCTATTTTATTATTATCTTATCATTATGTTATCTAATACTTCTTATTTTTAATCAAAGGATTCTCGTTAGCCTGGGGATAAACCCAAACTGGTCGAGAGACCCGACTTCAAGACATCCCGAGCAGCATTAGAATTTTGCTTTTTTAGAACTCCACACACACAAAGCTTTAAATATCAAGTGCTCAAGTAAGAAGTCTCAAGTGTATTCCTCAATTATTCACCGAAGTAGGGGTACCTATTCACCGACAAGCCTACCAGAACTAAGGTGATTGATTACTTTAGTGTATACCACACAAGCTGAGTAACAACAACGAGTGGTAAAAGTAGTTGGCACGCCTCCCTTTCTAGATGGTCCAAAATGCTTGACTCAACATCTTGACTCCCCCTTCCTCCAAACAATGTTGCCTGAAGTTTGTAACCACTTTATAACACCAGACAACACTGAAATCGGGGAAAGGGGGAAATATATAAAAGCTATAGGAAAATCAAAAAAGTAGTAGATTGTGCTTAGACTTTTGACACTCACTGAAGTCAAACAAAAAATTTTCATCAAAAGCTAGAAAAGCTTTTTATTTCCCAAGCAAGGCATATTGACGCCTACAAAACATTTGGAGGAATTTATTGACTTGATACAAAAGCACTTACCTAGCTTATACAAAGAACTTGTTTATTTAGTTTATCATGATACTGTAACAAATTCGACTTGTTGTTGAAACCATGCTTCACAACTTTCTTTCCCCCAAAATTTGAAATTAAAAAGATCAACAATCCTTCCATAAGTACTTTGGAACCGCACTTTGGTGCCACTTTGTGTACAGTTCTTGGCCTCCTCGATTATTAATAAAATTTTCCCTTCCGAAAAAGAAGTGAAAGACATTTATGATTTTGTTTCTCGTTGGCTGTTTGGATGCGGATATTGCTTGGCTAATCACCACCGAGATAGCCAATCAACGCGCGCGAAAAGCACTTTTCACTTGTGTGGTATGAACCATTATGAAATATGTTGCTCTCCAGGGGTGTAAATAAGACTGTTCACACCTTCATTTCACAACTTTAGAGAAAAGGTCGGAAAAAGACACGAAGGAAAACTTGTGATTGTTGTTAGGCCTCCGTTCTGTCTTCTCCCCCCCGTGAGCAAAAAGGAATGCTTGGTTGGGTTTCGTCTAATGCGTTAATTTGTTACTGATTTTATCACAATAGGCTTTTCTTGTAACATGTTAGCTAATTAGTTACCTCTTGATTTAAAAGCATTACTTGTGCCAAAATAAGAATCCCCCAAAATTAAAAATTATCATAATTTGTTCGTTTAATCCTAGGAAAAAAAGAAATCACATCCATTACAGAGGCTTAGATGTTTGAGCGACGTTACTTCGAACCCGTGGCACATAGAGCATTTAAATGTGACTGGTAAAGCGAATGTGTTCAGAGCAGTAAGACTAATTCTTTGTTTGTTGTGTGATTTAAGAGTCAGACATTAGTATTTTCTCAATCTCGACGCTCATTTATGAATAACGAGGATTCTCGATGGGAACGGAGCAAAATCAATACCTTACTCTTTTAGGCGCTTCAGTTCACAGGTTGCCTGTGGATAGTTTCGAAAATCAAAATCAAAATCAAAACCGAATGTGTTAATTAGTGATAGCTAAAATGCTGTTAGGAAGCAGGAAATCTTCGCCACTTTACACAACAAATAATAAATCAGACCCTATCATCGTGCTGAAATTTAAAGTTTGGATCAAAATCACTGGAATTTGACAGAAATATCAAAACAGATATACGTCCTAGGCTTAGCACTTTTAGCTGTAGTTTTTTTACAAAGATTTTGTCCAAGAATAAAAGAAGTATTTTCATATCATGTTGTTCATTAGTGCTATATATCTGATTATTTTGAAATGTGTACTGAGGAGGTACTAAAGATTTTGATTTCTAATACTACTCAGTAAAATAAACGTTAAAACACTTTCACCCCTCAACGAAGGGTGGATGACAGTCAGTTTAAAGCAAACCAAAATTATCGATTTTAAAAGTACATTTGAGATTATCTGATGAAAAAGATATTGTACTACCGTTTGGAGTTTGTGGTTAGTATCTAAAGCTAACTGGTCCAAGCGATCATAGGCAAAACTAGAGGCCATTTTCTCCTCGTATTCAAGAAGACAGGAAAATGTCCTTTCCTCTGTGACGGTAGATAAAACGACAACAATGTTTGACTTGAACTTTACTTTTAATTTACAATTGTTGCTGATCACAACACGACAAATTGCAAATATTAAGTTTAAATTAAGAGATTTACTAAACAGGTGCATTGCAAAATCTTTTTGAAGTATGATAGCATGCTATTAAGTATTCATATGTTCTCAAAAACGTTGAAATCGAAAGTAGACAGCAAAGCTGTAACTTGAATTTCACGCAGAATTTAACATTTTTAAAAGTTTCAAATTTAAACATTCATGAGCGGTTGAGTCGCACTTCCGATTATCACATCCAAGGCGTCAACCCTAAGCAAAACATTTAAACAAGTTCGCACCAGTTTTTCGCTTGACTCAAACACAGTTGTATATTTGTCTCGGAAGTATTGTGCTTTGTACCTTTGAATGTTTTCTTCATTTCAAGACTGTATTCCGTATAAATATTCAGATCCGGCTGTGTAAGCTGCTTAACGTTGGTTTTTCATACAGCTCTAGTCGTAAAGCGATGCCAATGCCATGTGATTATTATGCCCTATTGTCAGTCAGAAGTAGCATCGACTTCCTATTGTTTTCATTTAAAAAGTTTCGAGTGTCAAAAAATTTAGTAGACATACACAGCATTATCGAAACGTGATATGAGATTGGTTCTAGCCGACTCCGCGCAATAATTCCTTTCCTTTTTCCTTCAAAAAGTTGAAGTAAAAGGCATATGCACTTCACCTATTCCTAAGATGAACAATAAAAACATCACTTTAGCCTCTGAAAGGGGCGAACTACTGAAACGACTGTTACGTTATGTAACAAATCCCCTTAGTATTTGATCTGTCAACACGTTTCTTATGACAAAACAAAAGACATACAATTACGTATCAAGTTTTAATTCGAACTGCAACGGTTTCGAGAACATGATTACAGCGCTCAAGGTTTTAACGCCAAATTAAAGTTACTTTCCTCTTTTAAATTTTATTTTAAATGGTAATAGGTTTAAGGCTTTGCTACATTTAAATTTGATAAGAAAAATTATCTCTGAGTCCTCTTTAGACTCTATACACATATTTTCTGCAGTTACATAATTATATCTTCGTTGATTAATTATACGATAGAACTTAGTCGTTTTGCGGTCAAAAAAAAAAATTTCATCACTAACACAAAGTTAAGAAAAAGTTTGCGCAAATTCAAGTCAGCTACATGTAAGCCAATCACATCCTTCGCTATCACACACAACCCAAAATGGCAGCGACAAAAATCGCGACACGCATGTGCCATTTGGGGAAAAACTGAAATTTATTTTCAACTCATTCAACCTAGACCCAGTACTGCGATCGTTGTAGCTCAATCTTTGCCTGTACCTGTTGAAGAAGGATCCTTAAACGATGGAGCTGAACTTGCAACTGATAGTTATGCTCTTCGAGAACTTCTTCACGTGCCTCCAAACGTTCTCTCTTGCGTTGTAAATGGGCCTCTCTGGAAGGGCCCTCAGTAGGGACAATAATATGTTCCCTTTGATGCTGGCGTTGAAGTTGATATATACCATTGATTTCGCCTTGTAGGGCCCTGCACGGAAAGAAAAATAGAATCACTCTTACTTTAAGTAGAATTTCCTCTATCAAACTTCCAAGTTGAAGAAACCAAACTCCAACCATTTTCATAATATGGAGTACTCACGCAAAAGGTGCAAACTCTATGAGTTAAGAGAGCAAATACACACGATTCTATGAAGGTTACTTTCACAAGTGGCGTATGGTCTATGGGGAAGACTAGAGGAAACTAAGACCATAATCATAAGGGATACTTTAACAAATGGCGCATAATCCACGAGGAGAGGTGAAGCAAATTCAAACCATTCTAATAAGGAATACCTTTACACATGGCGCATGCTTGAGGAGAAAAAGTACACTCTTACAAAAGAAGCATGCTCTATGACAACGAGTATGGTATTTTACTTTTACCTCACCGTTCAGAATTTCATGAGAAGGATGCGTTGAAACCAGAGTGAGCAGACACTTGTTTATGCTAACATACCTGTTATCGTTTTCCAAACTTTTGATCAGATGCTCCAAGTCTCCTTTGCTTTGAATGTCTCCGTACCTTGCGTTTTGAGTAGGACTGGCAGACTGAAAAGATGGCACAACACTTACATAAAGATTTCAACCTCCCCCGTCTATACGCCAACGTGGTCCTAACATTATGAAAGATTTCCCTACAGATCAGTGAAGGAGCATCCCACCGGAAAGCTTAAAGTAGGGTCTTCGAGTCTCCTTGCAAACTTGATATCTTTTGATTCTTTTCCATAATCAAACTCAAATTCAGCCACTTGCGCCTAAATCATATCTATAAACACTACTCAAGGTCGAGCAAAACTCGAATAATGTCGTAGCAATTAATAACATATCTGAAAGCTCGAGTAGCTTTATGCAATATTAAATAATAAAAATTGGATTCGATCTCTCATTTTTGCACACGCATGCGACGTCAGATAACAACCAGCCTTCTTTTGATTTGAGTTATTCTGGTTTAGTTTAAGTGATTTAAAGTTGAGACCTGAACAAAAAACTTACAATGTTTCGGCGAGGTGTGCCTAATTTCCGACACTTTAAAAACAGTTACAATCGCACTTAGAAAGACAGTAATCATCTCCTTCAAGACACCTACCATCGACTCTGGCTCACTAGTCAAGCTGAGGAAAAAAGGAGTAAGAGAAGAAAACATCATTTAAAGTTAGCACAAAAAACAAAATAGGTGCTAACCTATCTATAAGAGTGTTCATAATAAGAAAACCACGCATCAATCAAACTGAAATGACTCACTCAGTGACAAATGGTCTATGTTCGACCTTGTAGAGGGGCGTACCTGAGAGGAGTCCCGGGGTGCCTGTGAACCCACTTGTGAGTTGATCGTATTTTAAAGTCAACGATATACAAACTACATAATTCGCAAAGCGAAAAGCTGCGAATCCGAAGGATATGAATGGCAAGCATCACTCAATACTCACACAACATGACAGCCGGGTAATTACCCTGGGCGCGAAACCCAAGCCTTAAAAAATCCTAACGACGTCCCCTGTTGCGTGCACGCTTGAACCAATGAGCAAGTGAGGAAAAACGAAAGCTGACTATTTCGAACGAATCGCTTAATCAAGCAGCTTTTTTGACATCTTTTACTTCGCCAGAATGCAAACCTTAAGCTTGGAGAAGAATAATTCGGTGGCAAACAAATCTCTCAGTTGTGGGGAATAGCTTTCCCCAACCGCATGTGATGACCGTCAGATTTTTTCGGTGTCCAACAATGAATTTGCGTCATGAAATTGCCCTGTCGGTCGCTTGTACTTTGCAACGAGGACATGATTTAAACAGATCTGTATTTGAATCATTTCCTTCCTCGTCAGAGCTACTAAAGATTTCGTTTTTCGCAAAATTATAAAGTAATATTTCTTGAATGAAAAAAAAAATCCCTTCTACTTGTACATGGGGCCCCCTGCTAGACCTGCTCTTCACTAGCTATGGCTATTTGCAGGTCAGTAAATGAAATATTGATATCTGATCTTGAAAAAAAAATCCCTTCTACTTGTACATGGGGCCCCCTGCTAGACCTGCTCTTCACTAGCTATGGCTATTTGCAGGTCAGTAAATGAAATATTGATATCTGATCTTGAAATTGAATTAACGTGCATGTAAATTGGTAAAAAAAGACAGAACTTGAACTTTGGTGATGACCGAAAAATATGTTTGATTTGAGTTTTGTGTGAAGATTTTCTTCAACGACTTTCACAAACAAAACAACACAAAGTTAGTTTTAGGTACAATACCTCTTTGTGTAATGTTGTATTAGACCGTGTTCATCAGCCCTGCTGGGAAACAAGAAAAGAAAAAAAATCATAAAAATCTTTAAAACCTCAAATCGATTGAGGTAAGATATATGTTTGCTATAAAGCACACTAAAGTAAAGTACGGTATTAATACCAAATTGATATAAAACACACATCAAAGTGCTCATCCTCCTTCAACTTACATGACGGACCGAGTCACTGAAGGCTTTTCCTTGGATGAGTTCCTTTCTTCTCTTGTTTCATGACTTGCTGGTCTGTCAAAAAAATAACTGGATGAAAATGAGCGATGTCGAAAAATGTGTAGGGATAGAGAAGAACAAGGAAAAAAGGTTGAGTGGAAGTAAAAGGGCGGCGGAGCAGAGAAAAGAGAGAAATTGTAAACGGAGTAGACAAAACAGCAAACATGGATAACTTGAACAAACGCGACAGTACACTCTCACAAAAGAAGCAAATGCTGCTTTACTGGAATTTAACACTGAAAGGAAAGATAATACTTTAATTCTTAATTATCTTAAAAAGATAAGAAGGAAAAAAAATGCTCTAACTAATGTTACACTAGAAATTAACTTCATGAAAATGAAATTTTCAAGCAAGCATAATACTTTGATTCTTCATTATCCTTAGAAAGATAAAGAAAAAAATCCTGAAACTAATGTTACCCTAACAATTAATTTCACGAAAATGAAACTCATGCTCGTAATTCGCAGTGGCCTGAAAACTACCGGCCACACCCTCGTGTCAGACACGCCCTTTTATGCACCAGTTGTTTGCAATACCATTAGGACCACCTCCGCCATTGCGTCCTTGATCTTCTCAATTATTGTCATTATTATTATTGTTATAGTTAATATTGTTATTAATATTACTGTTATTATTATTAGTATTATTGTCATTATTTAATCATGATCGTTATTGTTATCATTATTATTATTAGTAGTAGTAGTAGTATTTTTATTAAATCATTATTTCAATATTTCTACTTTTATTAATATCACGCCTTCCTTTACAAACTAACCTAGCCGCATGGTCTCTGTTCTTGACGTTTAAACCTGGTGACACTTTCTCCGGGGCGCCAAAATCCACAGAATCCCTAAATAACATGAGAAGAAATGTTTTATGAAACACCCCCGTGCAGTATTAGGCCTAAAGTCATCTCTAAGCCTTTCGCTTAACCTTAAAAAAATATGCTGACAATGTCACAAGCAATCATGGAGACTCTTCGTTTCCCCTAATCATTAATTACAAAAATAAATACGAAAAAAAAGCTCTAGAGCATAACTGACCGAGACTGAAGTTTACCGTAGTTTTTTTGCTGGGGTTCTTTATTTAACACCAAACAGATAGAGGTGTACATATAGTGCAGCAGCGGAGCGTGTATGTAAAACCCTAAGGGTATCAGTAAACGCAACAAATTGAACATTTTTTTAAGACTCGTTTTGTGGAATGTTCTAAAAGTTCTTGCGACGGGAAGTAAATTCGTATTATCAAGCGTTTGTGTGCAATCCTCCACGAGGTGCTTCGAGAGTTTTTCCCTCGATGATTGCAAGTGTAAACTCGTTAAGTTTGCAAGTGTAAACACTTAAGTTTGAGACCTTTTGCAAGTGCACAAAGACAACATAGCGGAAGAGGGTGTCAAATCCAACCGAAAACGAACTCGATCGGGGACCCTCTACACTTTTGGAAATCGAGAGTTAAATTCGAACACGCTGAAAGTTTTGCCGTAATTGAATACACCTTCGTCATCTGCAATTCCTTAGCTTTCAGAAAATATTAATTTTACTACGGTAACGTTGCATCAATGAATGATGATCATGTAAGATAATCTGATACCATAAGTTGGTTTGACACAGTCAGAATGACACAATTAGAATTTGTCTTTGTTCTGGATTATCAGCAAGGGAATTGAAGGTTGTCTTTTTTAAAATACTGAACAAAACATTTTAAACACGACTTACTCGTCTTCGCCATCAGAAGGGGCAACATCTTTCATTTCGATTGGAATAAACCTTCCTTTGGATGGGTCTTCTTGCCTTTTCTTCTTTTTACTCACTTTATTTCGCATTACTTTGGCGAAGTCTTTCATGTCCTCCTTTTGTGTCGACTTCAGAGATTTCAACAAAAATAAAGCTACTGTTTTTATTGATGGACTCAGTCAGGGCAGACAGAGTTATATTAAAAATACTAGTAGGGAATAATCTTAACAATTATGTTCTCCTTCCAAAAAATTATTGGTCGTTTAGTATGATAAGAATATAGACGAGGGAAATCATTTTCTTTCCGTTTCTTACTCACATGCATATGAGCGGCGGGCAACCAGACTAGTTTTGTTGACACTTACCACTAGACAATACTCCTGTGTGGGGTGACCGATTTTGTGCTGTTTACTCACTCGACCAGACCAGAAGCATCCCTTTATAAAACAAGATAATGGAACACTTACTGTTTTGCCACTTTTGCCATGGTTGTAGGTTTAAATCATTAGTAAATGAGATTCAAGACTTCAAAAACGAGGATTTCACGAGGGTTTTGTTATTCCAAATGAAGCATTCTTGGTTACAAAGAGCAGATGAACTGTGGTTAGTTTCATTACCCAAACATAACACGGCATACTCAGCACGTTACTAGCCTCAAGATATACTATAATATACCATATTAAATTACTATTTACAGCCGAAATTATAACTGCTGTCATTGGTAAAAACATCAAAACACTTTGAGAAATTTCTCGTCATCTTCGTCAAAACTCAAGTCTTTACCAAAGATACAAAGAAAAACAAAACAAGATAACATCAGACATAAAAGGCTTCGTCCAAGCACAAAGGATTACACGTATTCCAACTTAGCCACTGGCCAGAATGTTCTTCACAGAAACAAAACTGGTATACCACTTACTTGAAAACTGAACAAAACAAAATTACTATTAAATTTCCTACCTGACACATGTCGAAGTTGAAACATTTTAAGCAGCGGTATCTAGTGAAGAACAAAAATATAGAATATAAATGCCAGAAAGTTGATTCAAGGAATCGCTTAAGATGAATCAAGATTTGACGCCTGAGAGTTTCCGATGAGAATTTATGAGGAAGGGAGTTTTCAGCGACGGGGACTCAAGCCAGTCCTTATATGGGTTAGAACGGCACAGAGAAAAACCTCACTATGGATGTTAAAGCCTTTAATTTCAAACCATAATTGTCTAAGTAGAGGATATCTCTTCAACAGGTTTGTGCAACTTTTGAAGTTATTTCAATTTACTTCCTAACGCAAATTCCAACTCCCCTCCCCTGTTTTTGGCTCTGCTATCAAAGGTGTAAACGCATAGGAGGACTGGACATATTTAGGTAGAAAGCTGGTGCTTTCCTTGGCTAGGTTTCGCGCACAGTAAAGACCAGCAGGAACAGGTTATCAAACCTTAGGAGCATGCTCTTTGTTTTGAAGTGCATGGCCCGTAAGTTCTTAATGCTATTCTGAAAAGCATGTAAAAACAAATCAACTACATCCAAAGCATTTTGCCCTCAAAAGGTTAGAAAAAGAAAAACAAGCATTTCAAGCATTAACTGAAATAAATCCTTCATAGGGCTCACCTGAAGCCGACTATGGGGTACATCTTACATACATTGCATTTTGACTCGTGTTTCACTGAAAAACAGAAGATAGCAAGGATTATCACTATTGGGTCGCTTCTTTCTTTTCCATGTTACAGCCCGAAATCATGTGAAGAATGAAAATATAGAATTGAGTTCCTTCAAGGTGGAAACTAGAAAATTGTCTTCAAAAGCATGAGGTGAACTAACATTTAATGGATGGCATTCATTAATTGTAGAGTTTTATTTTTAACAAAGTAATAATAACAACAATAATAAGAAGAATAAGAATATCGTCCAGACATCATTGTCTGGTTAAAAATCAAAGATCAATAAAACACCCAAATTGACGAGTGATAGTAGAGCGTCAGAACATTTCATGTCAAAGAATATTTAAGTTAAGATTTTGTGTAAATTCAAAGTTGCTGAAGTAAGTCAAACAAATACTTTTGCGCAAATGGACTATTTGCATTTTTAATTTTCACTTGGCGATGATATTATTACGATATTCGTTGTGCGATTTTAGTATGCGATATTCTCAAAATTTTACCAACATGTATACAAACAATAATGGTAGCAAATGATAATGATGGTGATATATTCTTAAGCACAGATGCGCTAATTGAAATTTAAGTGTGTGCCACTGGATATCAGCCAGTTAAGGCACTAACGGCAACCGCTGATAACCCATAACTGATCTCACTCTCTTTAGCCATTTCACGGGCCCGCTCACGGCACGACGGTCTCATTCCACGGATGATATACATTTTGTAAAATATACATTTAGCAACTCTACTGACCAGTCTCTGAGACAGCTAGTCTGTGAAGTGTAGGTAGCCAAACAATTGTTTGTGGTTCTGCGATCATCCATTCGATGAACTCTTCTGCTGATGCTCTATCAGGAATGGACACCTGGTTGGAAAAAAAAATGGAGCAGCGCAAGTGGCATTAGAGACCAAAACCCCTCGTACCTATTCTCCAAAAATAGTTAAATGATCCTTAAGTATATTACTGTAGGGAATAACATTATATTAGTATGGAGCTCTTTGGCATATACATATACTATATGGTCTAGATGAAAAGCAAATAGGCTAAAGAATACCCGCATCTCGGACGTAATGAGCTTCACCAAACGAATTCTTTAAGGAAAACGCATCACTCCGTCACCACATCGGAATTTTGGTCAAAATGGATTCACTAGTTAGTAGTGAAGCTACTACTGAAGGTAGATTTATTACATGGCAAGGCACTGCAAGTTAAGGCTTTAAACTTTCCAGAAACTTAAAAATTGGTTGACCTAGATTGCTTTAACTGTGTTTACAGAAATTCAAATATTTCTCTCAATCTAAAAAGCTATTTCATGTCGACCGAAAAACTAGAAATTGAACCCAGGACAATATAACAGCAATTTAGCAAAGCAAAATTCAACTGACGAAACCCTATTTGCCGGGTTGAAATGAAACTTTTTCAAATAATTTGAAGAATCCTTCGATTCACTGGAAATTATTCTCTGAGTTTCAGTATGTCCATGCTTTCATTTAAATGACGATTTTGCATCAACTCAAATATGTGTTGCTATATTAATGTAAAGTTGATTCTTCAATCTTTGAGATCGTAATTCTATTCAACTGTTTGTATTTAGTTGAATTTCGTTGTTTGATTCAACGATTTGCGCCTCTGTTAACGACTAAATTAAAGGGGAATCAAAATAAACCTAGCTCTTTTAACTGAGTAAAATTCGCTTCCGATAAATAATTTCTAGCGTCACCTCAAATTTTATCCTGTCTGATGAACTAAATATTCTTTACGTAAGACAGTGCAAAAATTAATTATAACCATAACATAGTACCCTTTCAAAGCAGTTTCTCACAGCTGGCTCCACACTTGACCCACTGAAGAATGCGCCCTCAAAAATGTACTTGGGAATCTAAACAAACAGAACAGGATTAATGTTTAGAAAAACAAACACAAAAAAAGTCGCTTAGTCAATGGAGCGCCAAAAAAAACCCTCCAATTTATCTGAAATAAACTTAGACACACGTATTTTATGTTCTGTTGTCACTGGTGTCTGAATAATTGTTAGCAAAAATAAACTGCAACGGTGCCACGCTTCCTTCAATCTCCTTCACAATCGTTGTTTGGTCTTACACAACGTGCTCTCCCCCCGTTGCGTGACGAGACGAGACGTAAATACTTTTGCGGCGGGGTAGGATAAGTTATAAAATTTAGACTGTTTACTGGAGAATGGCATTTCATCTCAAATGAAGTGAGAAATGGCTATTTTGATAAAAGAATTTCGTCGGATAATGATAAATAATTTTCATATTCCGCTTACGAAGTCGCATCAGTATGTAACAGCATATCGGGAAGGTCGGTTCGAACGGAGATTGAAACGAACAAGTTTACTTGTCGTTGAGATGTAGTATTTCAGTACTATTACATTGTAACCTATTTAAAACAAGACACCTTCAACAATAGAAAAACAAAAGGCCCATCTCATACATACTGAGGCAGATGTATCAAGCATATGCGCGCATGTGCGAAATTTTGACGCGCATATCTTTTTTTAATCGCACTTGCACGCGATTTAGGCGCGTTTTATTAGCGTTTTTTAGTTTACGTAAATCTGAGCGGTATTGTTGTCCATAGCGATATAGTTTATGCAAATGTTTTACGCAATTTTTACTTGAGTCAGCAAAACCAGCCCTTTCAAAACAAACGCATCAGTATATTAAAGTTCACATGGCAACCAGGTGGACAATCAGACATAGTTTGATGTTACTCTGGTTTGCAGATTTAATGAATATAACCGAAGAAGTTACAATTCATAGACCCAAGGTTTCGACACTCCTGTCTAGTGCCTTCATCAGGGGTGATCTAAACGCTGCAACAAGAGGTCCTTTTATATGATCACTAATTAGCGGCCTTTTTTTTCTGACGAGGTGTAAATAGGCGTCAGGAAGCAAACCGCCATCGTCACAATTTAAAGGAGCGTGGGCGGAGTTAATATGCCAAGCCTCCAAACAAAGGCGCTGGTGGTAACGCCGATTAGTGGTGATCATTTTAGAATTATCCCACCCAATTGTATGGTTGGTTAGGCATGTATGCTTCGATAAAGCTGTCACAAAAGAACAACGAACCGACGCCATTTATTCTATTCCTTGCAATGATTGTGACAACGAATACATCGGACGGCCAAACGTCAGTTTGGCACACGGTTAAAAGAGCACCAAAAAGCGGTTTTTCTTTGCAAAAAGGAAAATTCAGCAGGAGGGTCGAAACGTTGGGTCTATGAATTGTAACTTCTTCGGTTACATTCATTAAATCTGCAAACCAGAGTAGCATCAAACTATATCTCAACGCTTTAGTGATAATTTCGTGTTAAGCCTATAGCTGACGGTATGTGCGTTGTAGGTGAAGGGGCGGTACACAAAACATTTTTAACTTCGAAATGGTAATAAGATTCCCTGACGACCTTTCTAACCCCGACAGACCATAGCGACGAAGTCCTCACGAAGGATATGAACTTTTACACTGGGTAGAGGAACTCACAGTTCTTGTCAATGTCATTCTTGATGTGTGTCAATGTTGGGTTGATTCCATCGCAACATATCGCGGTAGTTAATTTCATATCAGGTTATACTCCTCCACCGACACCACACCAGTTTCTTTAGATTTAACTTACCCCTCTATTAATTTCATGACATGATTGGCATTGGGGACGACATTCTGGCGAGATACATAGCCTAATGCAGCGATCTTATTTGTGCGAGATACACACCCTGATGCGGCTATCTAATTGGCAAGAGCAACATACCACTCGATACGCTGACATAGTTATTTTTTAAATTAAAAAAAAAAAAAGAATGAATAAATTTAATTTCCTTCTGCAAAAAAACAAACATATTAAACATTGCTAAGTTGTGCAGTGCACAACATAATATCATAACAAGATATATTGAGTCAAACTAACACAAAAGGAATGTTAGTCCTCAGCCAAGAATGGAGAAATACATTACCCGCAGCATCTCTTGAAGGAACAAATTAAGTCTCTTTCTATCCAAAAATCCCTGGTGATTGCAAAGTTGTGAAAACAAATCTTGAAAAGAACAAAGGGAGAACAGGTTAGTTACAGGTGAAATCAAGAAATACTCACAAAAAGTGATAGAGTGTGAAACAATTATTAATATTCAGTATTTATTAATATATAGTATTTGTTTGTCTACATTCTTGTGACATCTGGTCATGAAAAAATATCAAAACAGTTATCTGAAAGTACTCTTTTAAAAGTTTTTTTCAGGCCTTGAACTCTACACCAGATGTCAGGCTGGAGACCTTTAGACAGGCTGATACCTACCATGCCCTGAACAAGTTCTATCAAGGCCCTTTTGTGTATGTGAGAAAGAAATCTCAATGTTAATCTCATTTGAAAACTCAAAAGCCAGAATTTACATTATACTTTTGAAAGGCATATCCTGTTTAAATACTTGTATCATCATCATTGTGATGAAATTATTACAGTCGCAGCTTTTCAAATAATTGAAAAAATGATAAAAACACTATTAGACTACAACAGGATTGACAGATTATGTCTTGCCAGGGAATATCTTAAACACAATTACAACAAAAAAAGATAAACCTACATCTGAATTTTTCTTGAATCTTTTCAGAGCACATAATGGAAAGACAGACTTTCAAAGAAAGAAGTGGCACATATCCCTTTCTCTCCCTAGAGTGAGAGAAATCATCATGATCAAAGAAAGCATCGAGGGGTTGGTGATGGTACTAAATGTGCATTTCTTAGTAATATAGTCATGTACATACTAGATGTGCAGTGCTTTCAGTTGTTTAAGTTTTTCATCCATGTTTTTACACTTGACAACAACAATCTGTTAAGCCCATCAGATTTTTTATTTAGTCAGTTAGAGACTTAAAAAATTGATTCTAAATATATGTTACCATATGTCTGTTCAGTAATGGATCACATATGATGCAAAAATGTGGTATTAATAAATTTTGCCCCTAATAGTATCCATTTAATATCCGAGATATTAAAAAAGATACATGTGATATACTTTAAAAAACAATGTGTTTCACAGAACAAAATGAGTAATAAACTGTCTGGAGAGGTTTTCACACTGGCCAGACAATTGAAAAGGCCTAAGGACAACCATTATCTTTACCCATGACAACTGAATGTTGGTTGTTGCTGACCCTTGTGCCATAATTATGATTTAGCTACAATGTAGACCTTAGCATTAACCATAGACAACATTCTCTATTTACTCACGGATCATAGACATTGAGCATCCAGTTAAGGGTCAGTTCACTTGCCAGAGACACGTCAATAAATCCATTCTTATCCCTGTTCTGATTGACAAAAACAGCATTGATGATTTTGGATAGTTCTGCTACAGACAAGTTTCCTTCTGTATATCCATTGTTAATTCCTTCATCACTGAACGACATCTTGACTACACGCAGATCAACCATGTACACTGAGATGAAAAGAAAAACAATAGTTTCATTTCATCTTTCTTCAACTTCATTTTTAACCATTAACTGGTAGGAAATTGTGAGAGCTATTAATAATGTCTCCCATTTAACTGTAATGTTTGGGGCTAATTATAAACTATCTATTTGCGCACAAATATATTTGTAACACTGTGCAATGACTGCAAGAAGAAAATGTAACATGAAATGCTGACAACCTTTCTTTTGACTAGTTTATCATTCTCTGACAATTACTTTAGTAGAGAATTGCCAGTATGTTACTTTTGGTGCATGCATTATTGCACTTCAACAACCTGTGCATGATTTGAGATGTTAGATTAGCTTAATTGAGAGGTGTCTCTATATGTACTGGCAAAGTTTACTCCACATCGGTTTGAAACTAATTATCAGACAATCACACAGCTGCAAAATAAATGTAAGTACAACTTTCTGCAGCTAGCCAAGGTTTAATTTAACAACATTGTCCCTTACTGATAACAGTAAGGGACAATTTTTATTTAAAATACAATACTAAAAGTTTATTTTAAAAAATACCCTAAAAATGCCCTGCAAAAATTGAAGGAAATGCAATGCCAGAGAATAGTCCAGAATGATGGGGTTTGGCACAGCTTGCCTATAACCCAGGATTCTGATTCTTTTTAATATTAGTGATTAAAGGTTTTTATGAACCACTTATGTTGGTGCCCTTAACTGTTTCCAAGTCAATCTTTTCTAATAACCTAAAGACTGAAGTGAATACAATAATGTGAATGGAGTGAATACAATGAAGGACCAGAATTGGGAGATAAAGGGGCACAAAAGTACAGGAGGTAGGAGAACGTGGCACAGAAAACAGGAGGCTGTAACCCCCCTGTCACACCCCCCCTCCCCTTCACCACCATCAAACTTTTGTCCATTAAGGAAATGTGTAGTTTTGGAATTATAACAATGAATAATTAACAAAACATTGGACTAACTCAATTTAAATTACAGTACATTGAGTTTTTTTCTGAATGGCCCTCAGCTTCATGGCTGTTCGGTATGCAGCATACTTGATGTTGCTAAAACTCTCTGCAACAGATAAGCAAAACAATTATACCTAAGAAATTGATGTTATAAACCCCAGCCTGTTTCCAACATTACAGGGTGAATTCAGTTGTATTAAGTATTGGTAATAACATAATTTCAAGTGCAATTTGGTGATTATAAGCTCATGTAAATTTTTCAAAGACAGCAAAATTGCACAAGCTTGAGGGCAAGTGAAACCACACAAAAATGCCAGTACATCTGCTCATTTTGCTGAAATACTTTGTTTCATCCAGAGGCAGGAAAATCAAGAATCAACTTAACTTCAACACACAACACAGATTATAATTCACTTCACCTGTCTCCTCCAGTAGACTAACCATTTCTGGATGATCCCACTGAGTTTTCTCAGTTTCGTGACTGCCATAAGAGAAAAAGGTATTGTAAGTGATTTTCTCAAGTTATGACAAGAAGTACTCTTAAAAAATAATCAATTAATTTCCTCTGTATCTAGGTTATGAAAAGCTTAATGGGTAATAATGAGAATGTGAAAACAATTGCATGTACTTTGCCAACATCATTTTCATAACTATAAGGAACACAAGACCATTTTGGAACTCCAACAAAGAATCTAGAATGAACTGATTAGCACAAATAAGCTAATCAGCAAACTTTAATCTTATTAGCGTGGCCAATAGGTTTTGAGTATCTGTCATCCATTGAGACACTATGTGAGAAATATTGCAGCAAATGAGCTGAAATTTGACATTAGGAAAAGATAGTGATTAAATTGTTTATTAACCACTATTACTGACACCTTCAACTGTTTCCATGTCAACATTGATTTTCCCATGAACTTGCACAAAGCTTCATCACAGATTAATATTGTTTTATATTGACTTGACAACATTTTAACAGTATGCTTAAAAAAATAAGAATAAAGCTGCCCTGTGAATATTGATTGTTTCTCAGATTTCCTCTGTTTTCAGAGTTTTCATTTTTTTGAAGTGCCTTTAAAATGGGATTCTGACAAACTTTATCGAATTCTAATGAGCAAACTGTGAAAAAATTCATGTTTGAGTACATCATCTCAGTAGGTCAAAAAATTGGGTAGTCTCACATGCTTTCATTAATGCACATGCGCAGCTCAAGGTAATTTATTTCAAACACTGTGACCCTTATTTTTTGCACTCTTTGCCTGATGGAATTCTTTGGTTGAGATTAGACACCCTCCCCAAGTATAAAAAGCCATGAAGTAAATGAAATAAACACAGAATTCCTTTGAAATGACTTGACATTTAGTGTAATGTCAGAGGGTCTGCAGTTCTTCAAACACAACAAGTTCAACTGCTTGCTGGCAGATTGGCAAACATGGCAAGAACCCCCTTTCTCCTTTAGTCGTAAAAAGTGTCTTCAAGTGATGGTAGCCAATATCAGGCTCTGCAAGCTTCCTGGCCATGGACTTCTTTGTAATCCTGCCTTGTGATGAATCACCAATTGCCCTATCAAATGACTTCAAGAGAGTGTGACCTTCATGTACTTCACTTCTTCAATGACTGTGTTTAGTTTTGTTGTGCCACTTTTGTTGACAATAATTGTGGTAGGGGATAAGTTCAGATAGGACTTTAAGAGCATTTTATTTAGCACCTTTACATCCTCAAGTGCATCATGGCATTGAAAAAAAGACCTCTGTGAAGCAATGCTAGATTAATTTTCACAAAGGAGCCATTGTTTGTTTGAGCACCTTTTGTGTGTGTTCTTTGTAAAAATTTGGAACACAATGAGACTGTCAGATATTCAACTTGTTCATGCTTTGAAACAGCTCTTGCAAGGTATCTTGGACTCTCTCAGCAAAGGCAGTTGAAAGCAGAGTTATGGCCAATAAGAACAAGTTTTCCATGAGAATATGAGTGCTTTGAATCTTCAAGGAAATCATCAAGTGACACTTACATAAAGGAACTGTCTGCAAAGAATTGCCTCCACAATGCAAAATTTTCTCCCCAACAGCCCAAGTTGTTTTGAATTTGTTTACCTGAGATGCATGAGGAGAAATTTACTTTGTTGGTAGGATAAACCTTAAAATGATACTCCTTGCTATATCTCTTTGCTAATTATAGAGAGGGCCTTAGAAAAATTGATAGAACCAAATTAAATCATTCAACTCTTTCAAGTTATTTTTGGAAAGTTGGCTTTGAGTAAAGAGAAAAAATATTGTATAAAGTTTGCATATTTTGACCAATTTGCAGTACTGGCATGATTTTAAGGATTATTAAAGAAAATACAACATTCTTTGGGTCATGTTTCTAGCCATAAAGAATGCAATGTTCAGCCAATTTTTTTTTCCTTGTTTTTGGGTGGGATAAATTGAGTGTCACCTGAAAAGTTCCCCTCTGGCTGCCTTAGTCATTGCCTTGCACTTTGCAGCTTACACTTGGGGTGAAAGATAAAATGGGTTGTTTTTTAGCTGACATTAACATTTCCTTTGCTTTTCTCTTCTGTCTGTCCACAGTAGGAAGTTCTTGAAAACAGTAGCAGCAGTAGGGTAATTAATGAAACACTGAAAAATAAATTATTATTGTGGCTCTCCTCCTGGCAGCAGTAGGTTATGCTGTTGTGGCAACTTGACTCCGAATTTTTTGGAGACAATTTAGCTAAGTAAACTGATTTCCACAATTTTTTTCACAAATAAACAGAGTTGCACTTGACTGATTTGCTCATCCAACTTCTGGTAGGAATACTGCATTTCAACAACCGAGTTTTCGCTGCCATGTTTGTTTGTGTGATTTATAACCATCAGGCTAACTGTGGCTGACCACATGCAAACTGTATTCAGCCACTTTCGGTTAGCTTTATCTACAATCAGTATTGTGTCAGATCAATAAAAACAGACACATTAAGTACAAATTTAACTTTATGGGTTTAAAATTGTTCACTTAACCAATAAACCTTTTCCCTATCAGTGAGACCAATACGCAATCTCACCGAAAGGAAAGATTTCCACACAGTCCCATGCTATTCTAAAACAAAGACGTAGCCCCAAACGCACTCTGCTGTTTTGGTCATCGTTTTCTATATGCATAATAAAGGGTTGTGCGGAAATCTTACCACTTTCTTTACTACGACACTTCTAGAGACCATTAGTTTGTTGATGTATGTTTTAAGCTTTAAAAGGAGAAATAAGTATTGACGTCTTCCAGTTTCTACTTCCACAGTTATATTTTCGGATAAAATCAAATTCAAAGTACAATAATGCGGACTGAAGTTGGTTAAACTTCCACAAGACAAAATCTCCAAGCAAATATGAACTTACTTTACATAGTATGGAATGCCGTTAGCCGTTTCTGAACGCTCCCAGCCATCTGGTAATTTACCTGGAAATTTTTAAGACAGGCTTTACGTAAAATAGACCTAGATCCCTAGGCATCCCAAAGCGTAATTGTTTCTTGAATTAAAGACAACAACACGCCACAGCTAGATGTGTTTCACACCAATCCACATGAATGCGATGATGATAACGTTGCACACGAAACTTACTTGTGACGCCAGGCATTATCTTTTCACTTTACAGGGCACAACCAAGGAATAAATGGCTAAGACTCTTCTAAGTTTGTTTGTCAAGTTTTACATTGAGTAGATACGTTATGAAAATAATCAAAAGCGATTTCGCGAAAGCGTTGTTTATCCGTCTGCAGTGCCCGTTATCCAGCAGTCGAAATAGTCCCAGCATGCTCTCTGCGGTTGTCCAACATGGCAGTTAGTCCTTACGTGAACCGCGCGGAGTTGTGGCTTGCAAATGCAAGTTTCCGACCATCTTTTCGCCTTCCGGAACATTTTCATCCTAGCATATTTTTAAAATGGTTTCCAGGCCACATGGCGAAAGGTGAGTAATTTTCCAAACGTAAATTTCTTCGAAAAGTTGGCACGAATGATTGCCAACAGGTTGCCAAGAAGCACATTACTTTCACCCCACCCCTCCCACAACCTCTCCAATTACAATATTTGGGGGTATGTGCTTACATTATGGTTTAAAAGGAATTCAAGTAGTAGTCTGACAGTATTTGTACTCACGTGGAAATTTCTCGCTGAAAGCAAGCTACTGCACTAGATATAGAAAGGGGACACTGAATAAACAGAAATATCGTGTTGCCACTTTTGCAATCTGCTCCAACGCTTTTTAGAAGATGTCTTAAAAATGCCCCTGTGGACTGTATAAAAACGAGGCTTCTACATAAAGCATCTGACTTATAACTTCATTTATTATGGGCAAAATAGCACCAAAATAAAACCAAAGATTAACTCTATGTTGTTGTTGATGTCTTGAATAGATATCTAGTTACTGTAAGTCACAAGATAAGGCATGCGACCAAACAAACATGGAAGTGAGGCTGGTTGACTAAAACTTCTTTTGACCCTCCAACAATGTTTAAAATACTTTGTTATACTTCATAAACAGCATAGATGTTTGTTTCAGCTCAAACTGGAAGATTTGGAAATCACATGATTTTTAGGGGGAACAGAGGGGAAATCTGTTGTTGCTAAAAGAGTATGAAGGAGAGCATGTAGAAAATGACTGCTGGCTAACTGCCATTGAGGGAGGGATTATAAGAATTTTATGATGGTAAGAGCTTTATGAGGGATCAGGTAAAGTATCGTGACACAGCCAATATCCTACAACCCCTCTCCCCTGCTCCCTGCCCCTGTCCCTAGGAGGAAGTCAATCTCTGGGACCTTATGAAGAACTAGAAGCTTTCCAGTTGGAAGACTGCTGGCAGAAACATCAAATTAGGGATTGAAAACAGCATGGTGAAGCTGCATGAGGACAGGAACCTGTTTGTAAGAATTATAATTGTATACAAGAGTCTGCCAGAGATTGAAATCCAAGAAGCTCCATGTTGCCAAGATCAATGTTTGTTACTGGTGGTACATTACTTTGCTGCTCATGTAAGAATGCCTTAATTAGTATTTTAGAGAAACTGCCTGTAAGTCTAAGTGAAGACAATGACAGAACTGTCAACCAAACTACAGAAGTACAAATGAGAGTCACTCTGGTGGATGCAATATCTGAGGTTTAATCCCTGGACAAACCCAAATGGATCAAAAACTAAATCACTTTGTTTGTCACATTTTCAAGATGCTCAGCGAAAATAAAGAAATCCATTTTTTTTTTGACAAATACAATCTGCCATCTTCTCTAAAAGGAGATACTCAAAAAAGAAGCAAAAAGGCATGAATCAGAAGTATGATTGAATCACTGCTTCAATGCACATCACAAAGATTCCAATGAAGAAGCTTCTTTACACACCACATCAAAGATGGTGCTGGGAGACTATCTAGCACAGAAGACTGTCAAGTTTGGCTGCCAAAATGGTGGATTAGTAGTATAGTTTTAGTAGGAGGTCAGAATACATGGGAACAAGAGAAGATTTTCTTGTCTCCAAAGCAACCAGAAGGGGGTAGACATGAAGATTATTTTACATGATGTTGATACTACAGCCAGAAGTACAACATTCTCTTGACACTGAGGTTTTTGTCTTGGCTCTCAGAAATTATTCAACGTTTTGCAAGAAACCCCTTTTGTCACTGGTACGGGCAGGAATCATCGAGAAATTATTCTTTGGCCAATTTTTTGCACCATAGGCCCTGAAATGGCAGCCACTCTCCCAGCTTTAAGTGGAGCAGACAACACTGGCTGTTTTTCAGGAAAAGAGAAATCCACATGTTAAAAAGCTTTCAATTGGAAGCTGAAATCATCATGGGTCTTTCTGAGCTTGAAGGTGCAGTTGTTATTCCCAGATGGTGGTCTTTAGTTAGAAACAAGCCCAGTCAAAGAGGCTGCCCCCCAACCGAGGTTGTATTTCAATACGCAATCTGGTGTGGAATAATGATATGGTAGCAAATCCCACCCTGCTATCACTTTAGAGTTTTGGTTGACCATGGGATAGTGACCGTTGGGTTGTTATAATGAAGAAACTGCCTCCAGTGCCTCAGGCTATTATTCATCATGTAAAGTGCAAGTGTGCTGGGGCATAATGTGTGACAAATGCTGTCAGTGTAGAAAGAATGGGCTGAATTGCATGGATCAATGTATGTGTTGAGATATTGGAGAAATGTGTGAAAATATGCATAATGATGAAGACAATGGCTCTGCTGATAATAACAAGAGTGAAAAGGATGAAGATGGTTAAGAATATAATTCTGTTTTGAATGATTAAGTTACACACACTTTGAGTCCCAAGTTACAAAAATATTTGCTTATGATTAAATCTCTAGTGCCTATGGCTGACAACTGGTCTTCTTATGAGAAATATTATCTTTAATAATTATATCAGGAATGATAGCAAGTTTTCTTTTTGTATTATTGAATTGTCAAGCAAAGCCAAATATCACAGCCTTGCTTTCATGTTTTTAAAATCACATGACCAGCACATTTAATCAGGAAGAAACAGTTTGAGCTAAAAAAATTTCTATGCTGTTTATGAAGTATAGCAAAGTATTTCAGACATCATTGGAGGGTCAAAGGAACTTCAGTAGACCAGCCTCACTTTGATACTCCCTTAGTCACTTGACTTATCCTGTGACTCACAGTTACTAGATATGTGTTTAAGACATCAACAAGAATGTAGAGTTATATCTTTGGTTCTATTTTGATACTATTTTGCCCATAATAAACAAAGTTATAAGTGAGATGTTTTATGTAGTAGCCTCATTTTCATGCAGGGTCCACACCGGCATTTCAAAGCTAGAATATCTGAGGAATAAGGTGAGATCACTGTGAAGAAAATCCAGACCTTCAGTGGAGGATTGCAGACTGCTTAACATAGGTTCTACAGTAGTGTGGGTGATAATTACTGGCATGTATTGTACATGTACCTTTCTTTATGTGATGAAAAGTGGTGAAAAAAAATTTCTTTAATCTCACTAGAGGAGGAAAATAATAATGGGAGGATTGAGTATGAGCCAGAGAAGGTTAAACTTTTTTATTTAAAAGATTGGTGGGAAATGACTTGAAATCCCATATCAGTCTAATGTATATACTTGAAGCCATGTTTGATATTGTATGTTGTGGTTAATAAAGGTAATTGCATGGAGCCAAGTAAAATTAGGGATAGATGTCATGCATGTTTTTAGAATTTGCAGGAATTGCCTAAGTCACACAGCAACAAGGTCAATTTCCACAACTCGGAAAGCACAAGTGGTATTTCCCTTAATTTTACAAGGGAACATGCAATTACCTTTTTTTATGTAAAAGGAAAAATTTTCTATGGTAAAGAAGTTATAAAACACGTGCTGTTACACAATATCACATGAAGCCATTTCAGAGTTCAGTTAACATCAATCAACTGCAAAATGTGCAAATCAGGTGAATGAAATTTTATTTCTTATCACAATGCCAAGGGAATGAAACCAGCCTTGCTGAGAAGCATTTGCCTTCAATTAAATTATAATGCTTTTAGGTGGAGTTAAACCTTTTTTGACATTTTCAATTTCAAGTGATTTCAAGTAATTTTGTTGAAAATATTAAGGTTATTTAGATTACAAAACATTGGGGTGAGGTTTTCATGTGAAAGATATTCAGCTCTGCGTATAATTCTGACAATGTTTCTGCAAAAGGAATTGCCTGTTTAAACTGGAGGGGTATGTTTAGGACCATACAGCATTGCAATAGTTGAAATAAAGAAGAACAGTGGGTTACTTTGAAACTTTTAGGATTTTTATGGGAAAGTTTTCATAATTGTACAATTTATTCCATTTTAAGTTGGTATGTATATAATGCATCTCATTCTTATGACAAAGTGAAAGGAATCACACAACTTGCCAACAACACTTTAAAGCAAGATTTCAAAGCAGTGTTAAAATTTTACATTTTGTTGAATGGTAAGAACTTGTCACCCAACAGCTTTCTCTCACAAGTAATGCAAATCTTTGAACATCAAGAACATGTGACATCTAGAGCTGTTTTTGTTTGCTACAAAAATTGGTTCACAAGTCAAAGGTTGAAGGAAAATTTCAGGCTGTAGGTTCTTATGGAAATATTTTATTGTACCTTGAGTTGTATTGAAAGTCAAGCCTTGACATGCCCAAAATATTGTGTGGTTGTCTTGTTAGGTTTCCGTAAGATGCAACTAAAGCTACCAAAGTGTGACTGTGTTGTGGAAGTTCATGATGCAAGAATATCCTTTATTTTGATCCCAAATTGTCACAGTGGGATAAGGCCATTTCATTTGCATTTCCACTTAATCATCTTCCCCTTATATTTGAAACTCTCTTTTTCCTTGCACATATCCCTCCTACACACAAAACACACCCATGCACCTGCAGACAATGTCAATCAAGATTGAAGTCAGGGTCAAGTCCTTTACAGAAGGTATGCCAAATTTTTTAAACATTCTATGGAAACTTTTAAAACCCATTTGAAGATCTTGAGATTAACAAAATTCAACTTGGTATGGAAAGATCACAGTCAAAGACTGTTCGCTGCAATCCTCTCAAAATTAATAACAAGCTTTTCTCAATTGACCAGTTTGAGTATGCAAAGATTGACCCAAACTTTTTGGCATGGCAAAACCTTTTTGTCTCCTATGGAATTATGTGTAGACTGTAAATTTTCCTCACCACTTAACATGACTCCTCTACAAGTTTATTTCTCTTTCAAGAAATGTTGCTCTAGCAAAGTGTACCATGGAACAATTCCTAATAGCTTCAAGGCCACTTTTATATGTTTACCTATAATTGTCCTTCAATTCCAGAAAACCCCTTTGCAGTTTAATTCACCTTGTGAATACCATTGCTATCAAAGGTACTCATATGTATTCTTTAACTGAGATACAAATTCCCTTTACTGGAAGAAACCCCAAGTTTCAAAATAATTTGTCAAGCAGACCGCATGTACTTGTGCTTAACAAGATGGATCTCATAGGAATGGCCAAGCAAAGGGTTTGATTAGTTTTATTTTACTTTAAAGGTAGACAGATCTATTAGTAGAATTCTGTATGGTGTAACAAAAAAAAAACTATTGGATATCAGGGGCTAGTTAGAATTTCTGTCCAGCTAACATGCTTTTATCATGTATTAGGTAACCCATGAGGTATTAATACTTCCCTTGCCTAGCAACTCTTTTGTTGTTCACCTTGGCTTTGGCAGGTTATTCATCTTTTTCTCAGTTTCCTTTGTGCTGACAGTGTATAAATTTTGGCTGGCATTGCAACAAATGTAAGTTTAGCTTACATCCCCAATTTTTCATAGTTAGTTTTCAGTCTATCTTGTAAGTTTAAAGTAATTAATGGGTGGACATTGTAATGGGTTTTCTGTACAAATTTATATCAGTTTTACCTATCCTTTGTTCCTTTGTTGGTCTGTTTATCCTTGTTCTTTCACCTCAATCTTCATTTGTTACCACTTTCATTCCTTGCTGTCACCCATAGATGAATCTATCTGAACTATTTGTATTAAAGAATGCTTTCAAATTTATTTATGCGACAGTCATGCCTAATTGGTGGCTTACAAAAAGTTTTTGTTTGGTAGTTTACACAAAGTATTGTACTAGCAAAGCCAGGGCAAAGATGAGTAGCACAATCACCATGCCCATAGGGGGTTGACTGCAAACTTTCAATGATTTCTTCTGTTTTACATTTTCATTGAAGCCAAATCTTTGCTTACAGGTAAAGTTGTTCTTATTGATTATAGTAAAAGCAAAAAATCAGAAAACCACATTGCTGTCTTTGAGAAAATACCCGTGAAAGATGAAAAATCGAGCCAATTTTGGTTGTAATGCGTAACACAATCTCAGTGGTAAAATTTTTTAAATACATTTTTCACTGAAAGAAAGCTCGTTTGAGCAAACAAATTACACCTAATGATAACACACAATAAACACTACATTTGAGCAAAACTTTGACATTTCAAGTTTATTAAAACGCATAGAAAAGATTTATCATTCTTAAGTATCCTTTGTGTAATGCTGGGTTTCAGAATTTGGAAGTACACCAAGTTGTTGTCCGCAGAATGAATGAACTGGAATCCTGTGGGAACAAAAACACATTAACCAAATGCTCATACTTGGTGTTCTAAAATAGCGAAAAATCAGTCTAAAGGATTCACTATAAACGGAGAAATATCAGTGTAAAACAGTCGCTACGGTTTTGTAAAACCTGATTACGCAATAATATTTTTCATCAACTTACCTGCTCCTTTGCTACTATAATTCAAACACGGCAAAGTCGGGTTTCGAAATCGATTACACTTCAATGCTCATAAGTTTCTCTTGTCATTTCCAAGTTTTAGGGTCCATATCTTTAGAAACGGCCAAAATATTCACTTTTGACCGAGTTGCTATGCTTCTTACCATGTTGACGCCATATTGAGAACGGAGTCTCACCACAAATGCCACCAAAAGTGCTCTGTCGGGAGTCTTCAAGCTCAATAATTTTTCTGAGATTTAGCCATCCGTAAATATCACTTCAAGTGCGCTTGACAAGAGGTATGGTTAACAAAAAGGAAGAAAAGCTTGCGAGGATCAAAGAGTGGAGGGGGAAAAAGCAGGAAAAGAATAGGCTAAGGAATCTAAAATATAATGAAAAGAATTGCCAAAAGAGAGCTGAATTTCCAATAGAAAAATGGTGATGTGATCTTCAAGTTGTAAAAAGAGGCAGAAAGTCAGTTTTTAGAGTGCCAGTTGATCTCACTAGGGAGATACTAGCCTCCATGTAATACAAAATGTTATTATTTCTACTTTTTACTGTGTCAGTGAACTCGAAATTGATTATTTGTGAAAAAGACCACACCCACAAGGGATTATGGGTAAATACAAATTTGAATCAAATGTGACAAAAATAAAATAGTTTGAAATAAATCAGTTGTAATAGTAAATGTGAATTTAAAACAGACCTAAAGAAGTGATTTTGTCCCAAACTAGCAATTTTCACATTTTCCATACATGTTACGGAAGTGGGTATGGTGATTGTGCTACTCATCAAACTGAAAACTGAACAATTAGATACTGGTATAATAAACAAGGGACAAGATTAGTTTGATAATAACAATAATAACCTCTGAATCGTAGGAGATCCTGAGACAACTGGAAAGTGAGGGAACTAGAGCTGTGCTTACTGATAGTAAATCTCAATATCATTACAGCATTAAAAGGGTAAACAAAAAGATGGTTAAAGATTAGGTTTGCAATTTGTATGTGAGCAAGTTACTGTTAGTCTGACTCTATACTTGTTAAAAATTTGATTTGATAACATCCCTTTTGCTGTCATTGTTTTGTTTTTTTTGTTTTCATAGCTCAGTTAGCCTTGTTTATACAGGCTGCCATTTCATCCAGCCTCAAAGCCAAACTGAGCCAGCCTGTCTAATATCACAAATGAAGAAATAGGTAGCACAAATAAATTAATTTAATACGTGTCTTTTAACCAGCCCTGATGAAGCAGGCTTCATTAAAGGCACAAATATTGGACAAAACATTAAGCTGTTACATAAATGAATTACTTTAATACAGAGGGGATTTAAGATTGAAGCAGAAACAACTTCTTGATACACATGTGCAGCACCTTCAAGTACACTGAAATCAATGGTGAACCTGTTGTGTTTTTAAAATGCATGTATATTACCAGTAATTGTAATATATCAATATCATGATCGACAGTTACCTTACAGGTTGTGCCAGCTATTCTTGAAGCAGTAAAGGATGCTGAATATGAGGGAACATACATTAGATCAGTTAGTATTGGTGATATTAGTAATTTTTTGAAAAATGTTTCTTTATGGAATTGCTTTGTAATTTAATGAATGTGCAGTTGTATTAAAATAGGGAGCAAGTAGCAATATGATCCACTGGAATCTAACACTATGAATTCACTCCAGGTGCCCCAATCACCCTGAAATTTCACATGTTCTGTGGGTAATAATGTTATCTCAACCTTTAGAATGTGGAATGTTCCTCATGATGAATGAGTAATTTCTTTAGTACCAACATATAAATTTTGATTTTTCAGAGGGCCACAATTATGTTAATTATTGTGAAGTAGTATGAGCTCATGCAAGTAAAGAGAGCTAGAATCTCATAATAATTGACTATTGTAACTACAATTCCCAAGCATTGAAACAGTGGAATAAAAATGACTTTTTAGTCATAAAATTAGTTATTTTTCTGGAAGCATATTCAATAACTAGACCCCATGGCACCAACATGACATCCAAAAAATCAAAGAGTGACCAACAGCCTACGATGAAGTTAGCAGTCCAATGCAGTCTTGGCTACATATTGCAATCCAAGTAGCATATACAAAATATCTCTCAGGAACATCAACTATTTTGAAAGCAGTAACTGTCTTTTAACTTTTGCTTGTAGAATCCAGACAAGCCATACAATATTTTGACCTGTGGTTTGCCAAATACTGGAAAGTCTTCTTTGATAAATGCACTCCGAAGAAAATACCTGCGGAAAGGTATTTGCTCTATCTCTAATAATCTTCTTCAGTCCCCGCCCCCTCTGAAATTATGAAAATTACTTACTATAATGACTGCTGAAAACATGCCAGTTTTTATCTTCTGTTAAATATTGCAATATCCCTTAAGTGGATATTTATGTGATCTTTATGGTAATTTTAAACTTTAGTCTTCTCAGCAGTGAGCTAGACAGTGGAAAGTGTTATTATGAATGTTCTGAATGTGAACTTTCCCACAACACACATGCACCTGTGAAAGACAAAGTGCAGTTACTGAAATTTAATTTTCTTGCTTCCAGAGGCCAATACTTTAGGTGAAGTTTTGGAACATTTGAATTAAAATGTTTTTTCTTTGAAATTAAGACAACTATAATATTATTGATTTCTTGGTTTGTGTAAAGGCAAAGCAACTAGAGTGGGTGCGGTTCCAGGAATAACAAGATCCATGCAAGAAAAAATTAAGGTGCTTACTACCTATACTCAGACATGGTGTATATAAACATTTTAAAGGTGTTTACTACCTATACTTACACATGGTGTATGTAAACATTTTAAGGTGCTTACTACCTATACTCAAACATGGTTTAGTAAACACTTAAAGGTGCTTACTACCTATACTTACACACTGTGTATGTAAATGTTTTTAAGGTGCTTATTACCTATACTTATATACAGTTTAAGTAAATGTATGTAAGGTGCTTATTACCTATACTTATATACAGTTTAAGTAAATGTATGTAAGGTGCTTACGACTTTTACTTACATGCATTACATGTAAAGGTTTTTCCATACCCATCAACTTAAGAAATTTAATTGCTTCTATTCAAAGGTGAAAAGCATGAAAAAAAAACACTCTGACTGTAACTCTACTTGTATATTTTACATGAGAGTACCTAGAACATTCAACTTACCACAATTGTTCACTTGACTGTGATGATGACTTCCACTCAGGTTGTCTGAACATTAGTCAACACTACCGACAACAGTCGTTCTTAGGACTATGCTGTCAATTTTTTCTATGGTTCAGCTCTTCTGTTCGTTTGTTAAATCATCATTATTAATGGTCTCCCATTCTCAAGAACACAAATGAAATGGTATTTGATCTATTAAGGCTCCAGGGTAAAACTGGGCAGTTCATAACTTGTAAGTTATTCCTTTTCTTTCTGTCTCTTTCCTAATCAGTAACTGTGTTTTGAAGTATCTTTTTCATTGTAAAACCAAAACATACAACTCCATGATACAAATTTTAAAATATTGATAAATGTATAGGCTTCTAGGATCCCCAGCTTGTGTGGATTCAGTTCTACAACTGTAGAAACTACTGATCTTAGTTACACTCATTTCACAATGACTGTCTCTGAGAAGGACATTTTTGGTATTGAAATTATATCTTTCAGGTGTGTGATGAGCCAGTAACATATATGATTGATACTCCAGGTAATCTGTGTAGTTAAGTTAAGTTAAGTAATCACCGTTAGTCAGGGTACATGATGTACTTATAACAGATCTGCAGAGCATTGTTTTTGTACTTCCCATGTTTCTCAATTTTTCAGGTGTGGTGGCTCCATATATACCAACTGCAGAAATAGGAATGAAGCTAGCATTAATAGGTGTGGTTTCATTTACTGCATATTAGAGCATTGCCGGGTTTCAGCCAGGTTATGTTGTACAATTATTTACAATAAAAGAGTGATTCCAAGCAACACTGTGTATCAAAATTTGATGAGAACACACCTTATCACCTGGCTTTCTTGATGTTTGGGTCAACTTTTTGGAATTAACAATTTACTTTCCCCCCAGGGTCAGGTAACCGGTTGGTAGTCCTTTTAACTGAAGTTAACAATCTATCAATTTCTCTGTATGCAACAATACCAGAAAGTTATTTGACAACAAGTTTCCCTGCTTCAAATAAACTACAGAATCAACAGATGAATCTGTAGATGACTTCTGTCTAGGTAGTCAAATTGTCGGTTGCTTCCACTTACAGGTGTCATCGTTGGTCTTTATGACCAATTGTTGTGGTTTGAACATTTAGGGCTGATTATTTAAACAAAGTGTAGCCATTGTTTAACAAAATGGTGTCCTAAACAATCCTCAATTTAGGTGAACCTTACATCTGAACATTTGGGCCAAAAGTTGATAGTGGAAGGACTTTTGTTTGATGAAATCAACCGTCTTGGAAAGAGAGCTTGAGGCCCACTGATTGTGTAAGACCCTGATTTGGGTTAGACCTTGTTTAAATAGTGGGCCCTTACCATATATTACATTGTGTTGTTCCAGAGCTAATGGGTTCATCTCAATAATTATGCCCCTCAATGAGGACTGTTGAGTTTTGACTCTTGCAATGACCAACTCTATACATAGTTATCCTTGGCCTTTAGCTTCCAGGGTACAAAACACTTTCAGTACATAATGGATAAATCAGTGCCTACTCCATTTTATTATAGGTTGTTTTAAAGACCATATTGTTGGTGAGGAATTGATTGCTGATTATCTGTTGTATATCTTGAACAAAGAAAAACGTTTTGAGTGAGTTCCTTATGGTGTTACTTAAAACTTGCAGAGCACAGTTAGTGACTGTTTTGGTGGATATGAATAAGTACTTTATTATGTGACCACTAAGTTTCCTCTAAAATGAAAAAGGCACTTAATTGTGACAAAGATATTACCACATGAAATACCAGTACCTTTTAGGCAAACTCCCTCCATGAAGATGAAACTAAGTTGTAAGGAGCTTTTCAGTGAGAATCTTGACTGCAGGGTGCTCTTGTTATAAATATCTAAATACAACCAGGATTACTTGCATTGAATTCCCAACCTGTTGTGCTTTCTTTCCAACTACCCCTTCCCCTCCCCTAACTCCATTGATAGTTGTGTTACAGTTAACCAGAGATGAGTAACTGGTTGACAGTCACAAGTACAAAAGAGGGAAGAGGGAATGACAATTACAAGAAATAATTAACATGATTCAGGAAAACTGGATTAGGTGTACCAAGTTTAGTCTCACTGGCAAATTTCTTGGGGAAAATGATTTTAAAAAGCCATGCACATTTTCTTTCTAGATCTGTTTGTCTTTGGGTTTTGTTCCATCTTGTTTTAGCTTCCTTTGGGTCAATGGATGTAAGTTTGTATGTTTTTGGTGGCTCTTTGCCATAGGCAGCTGTCAACAAGATGAGATTTGCATTGACATGCACCCTCATTTTTTGGTTTACCTCCAAACATATTAAATTATGAACTTGAAAAAAATATATATTAATATTTTTTTTGTTATGGTATCGAAGGGTTGACAATTCTGATCAAAGTGATGATGCTTAAGATAATTATAACATTGTTGAGATTATGCTGTTGTCCTAGATATGTGGAAAGCTTTGGCCTCATGAACCCTAGTGATAATGTGAACTTCGTCATGAGACAGTGGGCCAACAAACTAAATGCTACAATATCAGGTATGTTGTAAAAAATTTAATTATTTCAAAGATGTCTTATGTTTGATATTTGATTAATATATATTTCACCCACTTTCCAATCACCCATTGATGATAACTGATTAATTTTACATTACGCAGTAGCTCTGTTAATAAATCTACCATATATACAATTTCTATCCTTATTTTATCAGAGTTTTTCTTAGGACATAGGTAATTTCATTTTTGATCAGCAATTATTTGTTACAAGTTTATTTATTGCTGTAATTGTTGTTACTTGGTAACTCTTCAAAATTTGTGATAGTTTGTTTATTTTCTTAGGTGGAGTACCAGATTACCGTAGAGCTCATGTTGATTTCCTCAAAAGGTTCAGAACAGGAATGTTGGGACACGTACTTCTTGATCGTCAGTTGCTTAGGGAAAAACAAAAAAACTTTTTGCCAACAAGTTTTGGACAGTAAATATATTACCAACAAGTAAAACAAAATAGATTGGGTTTGAATGTTAGAGTTCTAAGACTTGTAATTTGAAAAGATCCTCCAGGGTTTTTTTCCCTCTACTTTATATGTATAAGATTTGGTTAACACTAAGGGCAAATCTCTCAGTTACCTAAGTCCTCCATGATATTCTGGAGATTGTATGGCTTTCACTACTTTGCTGAAGAATTCTTTGTCTACTTGTGCTGCTGACCATATTATTAATGGAATGCAATGATTGGAAACATTTCTTCACAGCACTTTGAGGGAGGACAGGTTTCCCCCCTGATATCCTCTACTAATGAATGCAGTTCTTAACTAGTCTCTCCTATTCAATCTGTTAACCCAATATTTAGCCTTGCATAAAATTACTCTGTAAAAATTGGGAACTGGAACTTCCTAAGATCCTAGGGGTAGGGATATCTTATCTTCTGTAATTACCACATAACAGTTATAGTGGGTGAAAATTGCAAGTTGGGTACATGAGTTCATAATATCCATTTAATGTTGGCATTTTAATCTCATGAACACAGCAGCTCCACACTGAAAAATTCTTGACAAAATTCCTTCTACTTTTAACTAACTGGATATCTCCAATCAGCAATAAGTTAGGTTAGAAATGGACCACACTTTCTACTGGTTCACCAGTTATGACAACCAAATACATTTTCTAAATTTGTCATAATTGAATCGAGAGCATGTTTAATATTCTTTACTCTGGACTACCAACAAGGACATGAAATTTAAAGTCATTTTTGTACCGCAAAATGCTCGACTAAACTCCTTCTACCTTTTCCTAACTGGACAAATCCAATCAGCAGTATATGAATTAAGCAGTAGATCACACTTTGTAATGAATTAACAGGGTAATAACCCATGCGGAATATGGGGAGAACACAAGGAGTAGCCTTCACACATAGTAATAATTGTCATCCAATCACCAAACAGAGTAGCCTTACATTTCACCATTTTCAGAATACACATTCTGCCAAACCATTCATCTTCTGAACCAGTAACAAACACCATTGATACAGATTCATGTGGACCTGAAGCACAATTTTCACAAGTACTGCTGGGAAGGTGTCACAAATTTAAGACAAAAGCATGAGTTACTAAGGAATAAATCTCTGCTTAGAAATTGAATATGCTCACCACAGATAGAGGCAAGCATTGTAAAATTCATTATCGATACCATAATTAGGTGATCATTGTAAACTGACTACTTGTGAAAAGTTGATTATACAATATAATTTTTCTTAATATGTCCCCTAATATAAGCTTAGACCATACATGCACAAAGCTTTACTTATCATCGATAAGCTCATCCAACAAGAATTGACCAGCCTTTAATTTTCAACAAGAAATACAGTAATACATTGCTATCTTGAACCTTCCTAAGTTGATACCTTTTTAACTCAAACAAGATGTGATTTTCCTTGGATTTGAACCCATTTTTCAGTCATTTACTATCAGCTTAACTCTACCTTGGTTACTGTGAACTCCCTTTTACCTTAAACTAAAATTACTTACCCTAGATTCAAAATTACCCATGTAACTTGACCCTAGAAGAAAAAGTAGGTTTATAATGTCAAAGTGTCAGAGCATAGCTCATTTACGAGTCCTAATCTTTAATCCCAATTAATACAAATGAAATATAAGTTATTTAAACACAAAACATTCAGCTTAACTTTCCAAACTAAAGATTCTTTAAAAAAAAAAAAAGACAACAAACTTGATGTACAGAAATGGCAAATGGTAGAAATATAATTCCTTGTTGGTAATCAACAGGATGCCCCTAAAACTCAAACTTCTCTAACTTAATCATTTTTTTTTGTTTCCCTTAAGGGTGCAAGTAATTGGAGTTCTACTGTATGTATCATCACTTGTGATAAAAAAGAGAAACAAACTTTTTAGGCTTTCCATCACCTAAATCTAATGCAACTCAACCCAATGTAGGCAAGGAAGTCTGTACAAATACAAAATTATCATTAAATTACTGATAAATAATGATCACAAATATGTATTTTATGCTTTTGATAGGAACCGTGTTCCATATTTCCCAATCCATATACAGAGCTAAATAAACAATTCATTGAAAGACCTTGGGACTTTAAAAGGCTCAAAGTTAATTAATAAAGTACATCTTTTTAAAACAATAGCTTTGCGTCTAAAAGTTCTACTAAAGATGGGGATAACAAAGGAGTAACAATCAAGTGCGTGTTTGTGTATTCCCAAGATTGTTTGAACCAACTTTGAATAAGTTGTAGCTTCAAAATGAAAGCTCATTTCACCTAACAGGCGCTGTTTTCAACTGTTCACGTATGTTTTTCGAGCATTTGAGTCATAGAAGATAAATAAGGAAGCTGAACATTTATCTTTCGCCAGCTATGTCATCTTCCTGACTTGCCAAAGATACTCCCTCCCCTGGAGTATCATCATTTGTTGCTAACGGACAAGCACGTTCCACGTCCATCTTGCATTCGCACAACTCATCTTCTTCCGGTATCTCTGGCAACGGTTTCTTCTTTTGCCGAGCCATGTTCTGCTGCTGAACTCGCTGGGCGAACGAAAAAACGATTCGTGTTATGAGATCATCCACATGCTTCTCAAATTCATTGAAACTCTTTTGATTCTTCTTAGCCATCAACCTATTCATCCATTTTCCACGAGTTGAACTTTCCTTAACGTGGTCTTCAATCTTGTGTAGGGTTTCTTTCAGATCGCTGTAGAATTCGGCTTGGCGTATGAATTTCACATCTGCTCCGTTCAAAACTTTTGTAATCTGCTTAAGTACTGGCACAAATCGAAGGACATAAGCTTTGTTGTGTTTGGCGCTGGCGATCGCCCAGTGAATGTTATCGACAATGGCAAAAATGGATCCGCGAGACGCGAAGCAGCTCTCACTGTTGGTGGCCATCAGTGAATTTGTAACCCCTTCGTCCTTCATTTGTTGTCCAGACTTCCTTTTTGAACTTCAAACGCGGATCAAATAGTATACTGCAATTCCTTGATTTCTTGCCCGTAACCAATTGATAAACCCAAGAAAATTTAAGTCTTTGGGTAATGTACACGCGTTAACTACCCTCGTCAAAAATTACTTGAAAAATCTCACGCAGCACCAGTATACCTTTGAATCCTTTACTGCCATCCAGGTCTTCCTCACAAACACCATAAAAAAATTCGCTCATCTAGGAAAGTAGGATTTGTTTTGATTGATGAATTAAGAAAGTTTACACACACAGGTTTAGCTCTCTGAAAAGACGAACTACAGCAACACTCGAGCCGCTCTCGTGGTTTCAGATACTTGATTGACCTGCTGCGACCTGATTTACATACTGTGCAGGGTAGCGTGCTACTTATAAAAGAATGCAGTTAAAATAGGTCCTTCATGGCTTAGCAAACACAAAAGTTTCTCTAAATTTCCTATCTGAAAGACTTTTTCAATATTAGGTACAAAATTTTCAGTAATCATGGATAAGTATAGGAGAAGATTACCCCAAATAAATTTCCCACTTAGCCCCTCCCCGAGCATCGTGGAATGGTCCTTATGACGTTGCTGGTTTCTGAACGATTATTGGCCGACTCTAGCATCGTTCTTTCGCATATGATAACGCGCTCAGTAACGACATGTCTATTTTTAACTTATTACACGATACTTTTTAACATATTGCAATCCGTCGAGCATAGTCTCTACCGCTAAGAAAAACAAAACAACAGCGAAAATCGATATTTTTCGTTAGGTAGGGTACGACTTCAAGAATGACTGGAGAGTAGGAAAGAGAGTAACAGGTGGAAAACCTCCAAAGTGAAAAATGTAGATTAGGGAAAATGAGGATTGTAGTCTCCCCTTCTTTGTGGCCAATCATGAGCGAATCATGTATCCGCCGCAGTGGCCTCGATTACCGGCCGACGTTCAGGAAATGGGCTTACGCTACTCCCCGTTTCCTTTCCCGTGAAAATAAAGACATAGGCATGCGTAGCATGCAAGAGTTATTTCCTCGGCTGGGCGGGTTGAGATGGGGCACTTTGTGTGCCTAATGTGTTCATTTTTTGTAACAGAAAAAGAGCATAGCTTTCAAACGGACGAAAATATGGCATTACTTCACTTTAAGAGAAAGAAAAAAGCGTAACGTATCTGAACTCACAGAGGTATTTTGTGGTCTATTGTCTCCATTGTCTAACTACTTCTAAGCAAAATTAGAATGTATCGGTGCCATTCTTACCATTGTCTCCCCTTGCAACAGTTGTTTGGTCTCGTCACACAACGCCATCTATTCCCCGTTGGAGAGAGAGCGCGTTGCGTGCTTGCTGAGATCAAATAACGTTTGCGAAAGAGACTACGTTTACTGCCGTTCCTCTAAAAGAGAGAAAATCAAAATTAATCTTTACAGTTAGTTGCCTAAAAATATATAATTCCACGTAATTCTACTACGAAAAGTGAACTGAAACTCTGTTGTATCTCCAATATACCCTAACCAAAGATATATTGCAATCTCGAATAAATAAATGAAGACACATTTAACAAGAGAAAAGGATAATGTTTCAAAGAGGGCTGGCTCCTGGAATGGTTGTTCATGTTATTTGTGAAATACGTGATAAAAATGCAGGTTGTTTACAAGGAATTAACACGCGATTGGATTAAGTTCAAGGCAGCTAATAGCCAATTTTATTCTTAGAAAAAAGTAAAAACGCAGGAGAATTGCGTGAAAAAAATTCACTTTTAGTAGTTAATTTTATGTGAATTTTTTTTCAATACCTCATTTTTTTCAATGAGTGATTAAATGCAGGTTGTTCACAAGGAAATGACACGTAACGGAGCGAAACCTAATTTGGCAAACTGGAATTTGATTAGTGGAATTTAATTCAAGCATGTGAAAAATTGCCTAATGTTCATGTGGTGCAGTGATTGGCTATGTTGTGTTGGACTTTGGACATTGTTTCTATGGTACGTGTGGAATGTGGGTTGTTTGGCGTGTAAGTTGAGAGTAAAGGAGCGGAAAAACACGTTTCAACTTAAATATGATACAAATGATGCAAATCTTTCATATCTCGATAAACCGCGACCTTAATCGACGAGGCTCTCGCGAAGGCCACAAACTATTACACTTATCAAATGAGCCCGCAATTTATTGTTTATGTGCACAGCCCCCTAATTCCATGATATCATTTGGAAGAAAACAACTCCCAAATGCTGTGATTGGTGCATGGTATCCAAATGCTGTGATACGATTGGTGCGAGTTACATACCCTAAGGTGGCAATCTGATTGGTACGAGATACCCAAATGCGGCGATCTGATTGGTGTGAGCAACATATCACTCTACACGCTAACAGATTTTTTTTAACGAAAAAAAGAAACTAAAAAACTGCTCCTCTTTTATGTGCTACAATTCTTAATTCTCGAAAAACGCCAACATACTGACTAGCAGCTTCTCAATCATACAAGAAAATTGATTTGCTTTCAAGGCCAATCTAAGTAGATTATCATCTTTTCCTTCTATGAATTGCTTGATAGCTTCCAAGTGAGCAATGGAATCACGAATGAGTGAAATGGTGGAGTAACATTATGAGAAAATGCTACAGGCAGTGGAAGTCAAAGCGAGAGCCTGCATGGTATTTTGTGCAAAACGTCAGCGCAAGTGCAAACGTTGTAGTGACTGGGTGATTTTAGGCTGTCAGAACCAAGTTGTTGTACAAATTATAAGCAATCCCGCAAGCAAGTAGGTCACGGTAATTCAAAAGCGTACAACATTTTTGATAAAGCTCAAAACAAATAATAAATGAAAAGAATGCCCATAGTCAAATAAGGTATGTGCTCCAAATGTATCAATTCTTCCTTTTCCTTACTTTTGTTTCCTTTTACAGATTTCTATGAATATCTGTACTTCTCTCTCCATATTTTGGGTGACGTGCTTTTATGTTGTTTTCTTTTGAAGATACATCGTGGAAAACTGGCGCCAAACCAGCCGAGGTTGATCTCCTTGCTAAATGTTTGACTGTGGTATTGCTAGTGAGCAGGTGTTGGCAGCGTCAGTTGCAACCCTTCCATACCCAGCGCTTGGACACTCAGCAGTCCTCCGACTTTGAAGTCCTAGTCCACTGGCTGCTCAATCTGGCGGCTTACGGGTGACTTTCCTTCAAGACCGTTTCAAAGGTGGCACATCGACCGAAAAATGACTGTTCTCACATTTCAGTCAGCGATACCTTGATAGTGAACTTAGAAACGTGGCAAGGTTTTTCTCTCCTGACTTGCCTCTTTATTCTAGAAAATTAACGAAAACTGAAACGAGCATCGGTTGCCTTAAATGGCAAAAACTAGTGCCCCAAGTAGGGGCAAACGAACTTTGCTTATGAAAACAAGAAAGCTCGTATCAATTTGACAAATTTGTATCAAAGAAATTGAGGTATGGCTGTTAAAAACGGGACCATTTCATTCAATTTGGAGCTCACGGAACACTTTTGAAAGTCACCAATATTTCAAAATACAAACGTCACCTTTCGCAGCAAATTTTCAACTAATATTTTTCCCATGCGGTATAACTCAGAATTGGTTAAGTGTTATGCTCATGATAAGTAAAAATAAAGCTGTTTTCGAGGATATCAAAATTAGTTTAGGGCTTTTCATTTCCGCGCGGAAAAACCAAGCTGAGCTTTGTGAAAATCGCAACTGAAAAGCAGAGATACAATAATAGTAGGACTCACCCCCACTCCGTTGAAAACCCCTATGGTAGATATCCTTAACGGAAAAATCATTAGGCTGTGTAGTGAGTGAATGAAGACATCGTGGCAGGGTTATATTCGGTGATTATGAAACAGATTACATCATTGGACGGAGGGATATTAATATTATTATACGAGAAGGAAAAATAATGCGTCGATCAATTCAAAGCCTCGAAACCCCCCCACCTTAGGAATTTTACCTTTTGAAGATTTGTTCCCGCCCCTAGGACAAAATCATGTTCAATTGCCCTGCCCAAGTGCTAGATTTCAGTGGGCGTAAAAGATAAATTATAACATAGCTAGTAAATTTGTCTAATCAAATTCAATAGCGCGAGCGTGCTTCATATTCCTATTGTGCACGCTCATGACGTCAGCAAACAAATTCCTTGAGAAAAAAAAATTTCCACCGGGTTGAAAATGTTATAAAACAAAGATTCATACGTCAGCTGTGCGTTCGTCGAGATATGAAGCACTTGGGAAGTTTGGAGAGCACGAAAGATGCGTAAGAGTTACTCGAGGCGTAGCCGAGAGCAACTCTAGCTTCTTTGTTGTTGACTGTTGGCCGTAAAAAATGGTTAACCGCAAAAATTCCTCTTTCAACCGTGTAGCAACTAGAGCTTGCAAATCTATTTATTGTCAAGTAACTGCGAAATGATTTTATACTGTTTTCCTTCTTACTGAATTCCTGTGATGTAAAAATTGACAAATTTAACTGTCAGTCGTAAAAAAGGTTAACCATAAAAATTTCCTCAAAACCATGTAACAAGGTAATAGTTATAAAATAATTCAAATAGTAGGCGCGCTGCGATTGGCCATAAAACCTTGTACCTTGATTTTAAAGGCAACTGATGATGCCAACCTTGGAGTCAAGGTTGATTTAAAAAAACAGTTCTTGCACATTTTGAAATCAACCATGATTTTAAAGGCAACTTGAATTATTCAAAGAATCGTGACCTGTAAAATATTTCACACCCTCCTTCACGTTTTTGACCATGTCCTGCTGCTGAGTCCTGAAGGGGGTAAAAATATCATTTTGAACGATCCTCTTGTCGTCGTTCGCGTGAAAGGGAAATCTTTTTTATCGTCTCAGTGAATATTTCATGCCTTTGCTTCACGTAGTTTTTTGCAGTTTACGACAGGATCAACATCAATATTGTATCTTCTAATAAAGAGGTCGTGGTGTGCCTTTATTTGTTCCTCTGTCAAAATTGTGTATTTATAAATGATA